CCAGCAGCACAGGAGCTCAACCTGTAGAGGTCCAGCCGTGGCACCTCACACCCTTTAACCCTCCTTGGCTAATGGGGCAAATGTCTGGGTTAAAATCAGGTGGCATTTGATGCAGGGAAGATTTGCTGAAGAGGGCAGAGCTGGGGAAAACAGCTGCTGCCCCCCACATCCAGCCAGCAACTTGGATCCTGGAGCAGGAGACGTTGATGTTTTGGTAATAAACACACCAGTCTTTAGTGATAGAAAGGGTTTCAGTGCTCCCTCAGCTGCTCCTCATCAGACTTGTGCTCCAGATCATTCCCCAGCAACTCTGCCCTTCTCTGGACTCACTCCAGCACCTCAATGTCTTTCTTGTACTCAGGAGCCCAAAACCGAACACAGGATTGAAGGTGCCTCAGCGGTGCTGAGTACAGGGGGACAGTCACTGCCCTGGTCCTGCTGACCACACTGCAGGAATAGGGCAGTGGGAATCAGGGCTTTCCTATAAAAGCACAGACTGCTGCCAAGGTAAGCCATACTAAATCTCTGCCTCTTAGAATCACTTTCGATGGAAAAGATCCTTCAGATCTTGGACAAATGCACTGTTTCTCATTTGCTTTTGCAGATTAAAGTTAGTCCAGGAGAGCTGCAAGCAAGGCCTAGACCTCTAAAAAGCAAAATTAACCACATTTAAGAAAATTCTGCATGCCTGTAGCCCTGCTACTTCTCACCACTTCAAAGGTACTGGTTTCTCTCCCATTCCACAACAAACTTTCACAGCTTTTTTGCTAACCCTGCCCTTTGCTCCACAGACACTAATTCTCCTTCAATGGATTAACATAATTAAATTAAATTTGGGCCAATTTTTCCAGCAGTTGTCCTGCTAAGCTTAATTTTTTTTTCCTTCTAAAGAAGGGCTTGTGTGCCTAAAAGGCAGCCTGGTTTTTTTCCACCTCTATCATTTCGGTCTAATAAAAGATATTACCTCTCCCCACAACCTGTACCTCTCTCTTGAGCACACTTGAAAGGAGAAAAATGTTTACCCAGAAAGAAATGTAGCTGGCAAGTTATTTCCCCTGGCTGCCTCGATACCTCTGAAGGTTATTTGCAGGCTCATAAAGAACTCTTTCTCCCTCCCAGCCCAGCTACTTCCAGTGCTCAAAGCCACAGCCCAGAGCCCGTGAACTCTCAACCTGTTGCTGCAGCAACGGCTGAAATGTCTCAGATATGATGCAGGTCCAGTCCCACATTTCCCAGGTTCCCAAAGCACCTGGCATGACCCTAAAATGGAGTCCTGGTGCAATGGGTACGATGCCAGGAAAGAGAGAAGGAGACACAGGCACCTTTTAACTCACCCCTTGACAATAACAAAACCTGAGCTAGAAAGCCTTATGTGTCTTATTATAAAATAAAGTACTGCAATTCAACCTGAATTAATTTTTCATTAATAGCTCTCAGCATATAAAGAGCAAGTTAAGAGCAGTAAGGAAGTGAAGAGCAAAACCATTGCCTTAGATGGAGGAATGAGGACAGCACAGCATGGGACAGCTGAGATATCAGTGCCTGGGTGCACGGGGACGGGTCTGTTCTCCCCCAACAACTCGGGCAGTTCTCTCTGTTTCAACAGCCCCCCCAAAAAACCAATGAGTTGGAGTTAAGTGGCCAGACCATGGCTGTGCAAACAGGCCCCTTCCTCCTCCTGCAAACTGCTGTGGCTTCTGCCAGCCCAGCCTGCAGTTGTCTTCTCCAAACACACGCACTCTGTCAAGGCAATGCTATAAACAAGCATCATTCTCCCATATCCCACACCTCAGATGACCTTTCTGCTGAAGCAAAAGCCACACTCACTCCAGCAAAGCACTAAAGACCTAAATCTTTGAGTTACATGTACACATACAGAGCAGAATAGATCAGCCTTCCCGGAGTTTTTATCATCAGGAACACACATGAATGCACACGGCATTCCATAACCACAACTAAAAACACTTAAATCGTTTTAAAACAAAAAGAATAAAATTTAAGCAAAAAACAAGCTGGTGCTTTTTCTACCAACTCGTGTGGGTTTTTTTAATGTTACTTTTACCGTGATGTCATGTTTAAACACAGCAATTTTTAACACCTGTTGGCTGTGATCTTTGCACTGTGTTGTATTGGAGACATGGACACATCTTTAAATTACAAAGAGGTCTTGGAGAGGTGGCAGATGGGAACATGCTGTGAGCTGAAGGAATAAAAAGACCCAGTGCCAAGGACTTAGGGTGGCCCCAAGCTGGCACACGTAGAGAGACTGTCTTGGACCTGCAGCAGCACCGGGATCCCACAACTGCACAGGGCTGGTCCACGCACTGCATGACACAGAGAAACTGCTCTGTCAGAGGTGCAGCCCATGGAGACGCCAGAAGTCCCCACTTCCCATCTTGTGGTCTCCAGACAAGGTCATGCAACTTCCCTAGAACGTGTCTCGAAGTGAACAGGCCTATGCTGAACTTTGAGACACTGAGCGGACTATAAATAGGATCCTAGGAAGAAAGGTAGACCTGGAATGTCAGAGATCACGTCATCCAACACATCTCTGTGGTCTGTCAGAGGGGAATCAGTGACATAACTGCATATTCCCTGCACTTCCCTTGAAAACGCTCCCTCATGCCAATGAGGGGTAAGGAAAAGGGGGAGAAGTGAAACTAATTAACCCTCAAAATTTTAGCCCAAATTTCTGTGCGTCAGCAAAGCTGTTGCAACGATTCTTTAACTAACAAGCTCCACTTGGAGACACACATCACTTCACCCATCTCATCCCGACAGTCAAACCATAGAGCAGACTCAGGACCACAGGATGATCCTTTCTGGATGCAGCCTGGCAGATCTAACCAGTCCCTACACAGGGGTTGATGCTGTCAGTGATGAGCTGTAGCAATGACATCTGCGGAAGAGGGACACGCACAGCACCTCCCATCCACACACAAGCCCAAGTGTATCTGCAAACCTGCACAAGAACCCTGTTGATTCAGCTCCTATTCACAAAGAAAAAAAAAAAAAACAAACAACCAAGTGCCTTGCAAAAGGGTGTTCTCTTCACTGCAGAGTTCCCAGAATTAATGCTGCCCCGGCGTATCCATATTCTGTTCACAGCTGGCAGGCTGCAGGCACCTTGAGCAGGTTCTATCAACCACTCTCTGCACAAGGAGTCATCAAATTGACAATCTCCTGGGAATTGGACTGGAGCCAGCAACTCCTTCCCTACTGGCGCTCAGAGTGAGTCTGAACTTTCCTTCTCAAAAAAAACCACATCACATTGACAAACGAGTGGCTTTTGCCTTCAAAGTGAAAATGTTTCTAAAAAATTCTGGGGTTTTTCAACAGGGATTTTAAACTGAAATTTGTCATTCTTTACACTGGAGAAGCAGGTCTGGACTTTCTCTTTCCTTCCCTTTTTTTTTTTTTAACTTAGCTTTAAATTAGTTGTCTCCCCACAAAATCTCTCTTCTTAGGTAACAGAGAAAGAGCAAAAAGAACAGAGACATAAAGCCAGGATAGGGTAAGTACCACTCTTGTCCTTTCTCCATGAGGGAGGACAAACAATTAAGGTGTGGCAATGGCTTCACACTTCTCATTTTTTAAATTCAAACCAGTATCAAATTCTGAATCATGTTTCTACAAGGCTTTTTGTAAGGACAGGACAAGGAGGAACGGCTTCAAAGTGACAGAGGGAAGGTTTGGATTAGATATTAGGAAAAAATTCTTCCCTGTGAGGGTGGTGAGACCCTGGCACAGGTTGCCCAGAGAAGCTGTGGCTGCCCCATCCCTGGAAGTGTCCAAGGCCAGGTTGGATGGGGCTTGGAGCAACCTGGGATAGTGGAAGGTGCCCCTGCCCATGGCAGGGGGTGGAACTGGATGATCTCTAGTGTCTCTTCCAACCCAAATTCTGTGATTCTGTGATTCTAGCATGTTTGCAAGGACAATCTCTAAATTCACACATATTCCCCCCCATCTCCTTTTATTTTATTCTTTTTAAAGCACCATTTCAACCAATCTCTGAAAAGTTTTGGGTCAACTTGTGTAAATGCTGCAAATGTGCAAGTAAAATGCTCAGCTTCAACCAGGACTTTTCCAAGATCTCTTCTCATTTCTTGGGTCACCAGGTCAAGAAGCCATTTCAGGAGATAAATTTAGGCTCCTCTGTAATCTGCCTCTTCAGGTGAACGGAAGAAGACAATTCAAGCTCAATTAGCTCCACGTGTTAATTGACACTGACAGTCCTGTGAGGCAGAACCTGGCCTTGCTCACCAATCTGCTGAGCTTTCTCTTCAGCACAATTAAAGCAAAGGAGCAGAAACCCCTGCAGTTGCTGGAACTGCTACTGCCCAACAAAATGGCTTGTAGACCACTTTGAAATTGTTTCTGTGGTCAGTGTTCATTCTTGGGGCTCCCACACTTATCACCTGCTCATGTGAGGCAACAGCACTGATATGATTATTTAATAAAACAGAGAGAGTCCAGCCAAGTGATCCTAATTTCTAAAATGATGAGTTCTCTTTAGGAGAAAGTTCTTATCTATAGAGATAAGATCACAATCATTATGTACCCCCAGAACCACAAATAATTCCCACCTTAAAAAAGTTTCCCTCAGCACCACAGAGCATCTGATACACAACTATTCCAGCAGGAGAGGGAGAAGATGCAAGTAAATCCAGGTCACTGATTAGAAAAGCAATATACTCAGGCTCTGGCTGAAACAGAAAATTCCTTGGGAGAACAGCTACAGGGAATGAAGATAGTCTGCATAGAAATACAAGGCAGCTGTGGAAAGAGGCTCCATTCAGAACATGACCCACCAGCTCACAATGACACTAAGAAGAGAATTTGTCCAATTTTGGCACTATTAAAATAAAAAAAAAATAAATTAGAAAGCAATCCAGCCAGACCACCTCAGAGATGTCTCCCACTCTTGCCATGCTTGGTAGTCCCAACCAAAATTAACAGGCTGCAGAAAATTAATTGCTTCAAGGGAATCCAGTTCTTACCCATCTTTCCATCTACATCAGGCCTCCATTCCACCGGTCCCAGACACTTGTACCTTATCCTCCACTCTCAAGCATCCACCCTGTAACAAACACAGAGGTTACAGATTAATTTTGACATGTCAGTGGAGTCACTGTACAGGACTAATTTTCACAAAGCCTTTCCCGACCCTCAGCTGGGCTGGAGGAAAGAGGAGAGCCATTTATTTAGGAACTGAGACCAGGAGTCTGCCCTCCCCTACACACCCCAAAGGTAACACACTACAAACCCGGAACCTTAATGGGTTTAAAATCTTGGAGTAAACAACTTATACTTGTGCCATAGGCCTCCTTTCCATAAGCGCAGAACATTTTTAATATATTATATTTTAAATATATTTTTACATTATTAATGTAACCTTAAAGTAATAGCATCTTTATCACACCACATTCCACAGCATCCCTATGGAATAAGACTCACTTGGGGAACAGACTGACAGCAGGACATGGAAAGACAACACAAGAAGTAGCCTGAATCAAAGCAGAAACCTAAATTTAGGCCTTCCAAACACCAGTCAAGGTTCCTCAAGGTTGGACCCCCTTTCCTCTGATCACATGGGAAAAAAGCTGAATCTAGGCAGCTCTCAGCAGCACTGTATGCCCCATACATCCCTCATGGCAGGCATGTCCCTAGGAGCCCTTCCAGAGTTTCTGCCTTTTATCTGTCCAATGCAGGAATGGGTTCAGCTACCTGCTACACTGCACTTAGCCAAACCTCTGCACCCAGTAAGGCTTGGAGGTTTTTTTTGGTCACCGAGAAAGTAAAGGAGACCTGAGCATGCAGGAGCCAGTCCTGCTCCCTAGTGAAAAAAACCCTTATTTTAGACTGAATGAAAGCAAAACCCACCTAAAGGTGGGCACCTTTTAAGACAGAAAACATCAAAGTCCACTTCAGCTGCCTGGTAAATCCTCAGATTTCCTGGTCACAAACCTGTGTGGCAGCAGAAGAAAAATGGAGAGACATCTCAAGTACCTCAGCAGACTTGCAGAGGGAGTAAGACATTCCTGTCCTGCAGTTACTGCAGGCTGCCCCAAAGCCAATGAGAGCCACGTGCTCCAGGACACCCACACAGACTGTGGAGTGTCACGCATGATACACTGGTCAGAAACGGCAGGAAAAGGCACTTTGAAAGTCTCCCAGCTCGGCCAAATCAATTCAAACACAGCAACAAACCCGAGGTGAACTGGGAATGATCACAAGTGCGGATTAAGACGATTCTCTGCAGCCCTGGCGCCTCGGCGCTGGCAAGCGGGGGGATATTTATCCAGCCTATTTTGAGAGGGACGAGCAGGAAGGGAAAGCGATAAGAGAGCAGCAGAGGCGGAGATGTTGTGTGCTGTTGTTCCTTCTGCTGCTGCAGCTTCCTCTCAGGACAGCACCATTCAGCCTAAGAACCCACAGCCACTCTGCTCTGTCCATTTGCCAAACAATCGAGGAGGCAAGGAAGTAACCAAAAGGCTTAAAAGGTTAAAAATCCTATCTTGAGGAGGAACTGGTCGGTCTACGCAGCGCTGAATCATGAGAGAGCAGAAAACCAGCAAGAAAGCAGGGTAAAAAACTCCATATGATTATAACAAGAGCAGGAAACGGCCCAAATCTTCACTCTTGCTTTCAAAATTGATGCGACACTTCCAGCAATTAAGCTTTGTGCAGAGTTTGCACTGAGGGCCGTAGGCAGATAGCAGATTAGCTGTAAATTCCTGGGATAGCCCAGGTTAACTCTCCTATCAATGTAGTAGATTTTTCTAATGGCTTTCTGGAGACCTTCCAGACCTTTCCAATCCATATCTAGTCACAAAAACATGCCCCTGCAGGAACTGTGCAAACGAACCCTGGAAAAAAACAGGTGACCTTTCCATCCAGCAGAGCCCTACCCTGTGCTGTTCTCCATCACCTCTGCCACAGCAAACCCCTGAGACCCCACTGCCCAGCTCTCGTGAGCAAACCAGCCCCTGCACACAGGGCAGGAAATCTCCATGGATACACGAGAGAAAAAAAGGTTTTCTGTTTTAGCAGATCTCTTCAATCCTGAGCACGGCCAGCCTTCAAATTGGACCGCAAACACTGGCGATTTCCGTGGCTTCCCAAAAATACATACCAGCAGCTTCCTGTTACAGAAGGACAAATTCCTGTTTCTATCTCCCTTAAAATAACAGAGGGGGGAGGAAAAAAATAAGTGGGGGGAAAAAAGGAAAAATCCTTTTCCTACTCCAGTGCAGTTCCAAGAAACTCCCCCCTTCTCCTCCCACTAAGCTCCCTGATCAGAGCCTTCAAGTGTTGGCAATTTGCAAACACTAACCAGTGAGCATCTGGGCTCCCACCTGCCACTGCACTGCTCTCCCAGCTCACAGAACCGCTGTAAATCTACTCCAAATCTCCACTGCCAATCTCCCTGGCAGGCACATCCTGCCTGGGTAAGCAGGTCCTACACAAATGCCTCCTACAAAGCAATGAGAGAGCTCAGCAACCTGTTGGTTCCCAGGGATGTTGAGGTGATGTTCTCGTCGTGTTCCAGGTTTGTGCCGTGCACTCAGGAGACTTTGCCTGCTCCTGTCTGCTCAGGAAACTGCTGGAAGTTTCTGAACCTGCAGGAATCTCAGCACAGGTGCTGCCATCTAAAAGCAGCTTTGGTTTGAATGAGCTGAGCTCAATTCCGCAGGCAAAGTGGCTCAACTTCATTACAGCCACATGAACACAGGTTATGAGTTATCTACATGAGAGCTGCGTGTAAGGTTATTAATCCACTTTGAAAAGTAATCCCAGTTCTTCCCTTTTCTTCCCATAGTCCTGGCTGGGAATGGATTAAGCAAAACTGAGCTCAAGGGAGACAACTGTTCAGCTATGACGTGTCTGTATGACGTGGAGTCACACATGACTCCTGCCACTGTGCATCTAAGTGGCAGAAAGCAAAGCAGAGGAAGAGAGGACGGAGAAGTGATTTGAGAGGATGGAGAAGTGATTTTTTTTTTCCCCCCCTGGATGTAAGGGAGGACAAAAAAGGGACTAGAAGATTTACTGGGAGGAAGAATGTAGGATGCAGGGTTAGGAAAGCATTGGAGTCACCTGCAGTGTGCTATTGATTTGAAGTGGGATTTACAGTATCACCTGCCCCCAAAAGGACTCATCTTACCCCACAGAGGCCCAGCATCCAACATAAAACATGGATTCTAAGTCAGGATGTCTTGCCACTACTGCAGCACAAGCAAGTGGCATCTACCTATGTCATTTATCATCCCCAGGCTTCCAGGGAAAGCAGCACCTACTTATTCCTGCCTCAGCACCACTTAACACTTCGGTTTGAAGGTGTAGGGACACACCACTGTAAAAAAAAAAATAATAATAAGCCACAGTTGCCCCTGAAATAGGGCTCAGCTGGAAAGCTACTGAAACTAGCATTGCTAAAATTGGGACTTTCCTTGTTTTTTCAAGCAGCAGGGAACATGTTGGGCTCAGAGAGTTTAACAAGCAAGAGTCAAGCGGAAAAAATCTCTCCTTTTTAAGAGTTGACCACATTAACTTTCAGCAAGTTTCCGGGAGTCCTGCCAGAGCGCTGGAGTTTTGTATACTACGGAACTGTTAAAAATATTATTGTAAATGTTATTTTCAAAAAAGCTTCAGAGGCCAGGGCTGGGGTAGTGTTAAAAACAACAGCAAAGCAAATGAGATTGTTCTAATGTCGAGAATACAAATGTTATGTGTGCTGATAGCTCGGTCGGCCTGCAGGCTTGGCAAAGAGGGATTCAAATGCAAAGGGAGAGCGGCTGGAATATTACAGGTTTTCACTAATCACCCCAACCTCATCCTTGTGGTCTTCTACAGACAATATAGAACATTTGACCTTCTGTTCATAGAACTGCCCTGGAAATTGGATCCACATTTTGGGGATACACAGTAGAATAGCTACATTTTGGTGCCACTTCAGACGCGTAAGACCCTGCTCTCACGGAATTTTCTGGTCGGGTTTTCCAAAGGATGCACCATATGGGGACAGTCAAAAAGCAGACTTTTAAGACTATACATCTATGAAGATGTGGCACTTAAGGACTTGTTTTGGTGGTGGACTTGGCAGCACTCAGTTAATGATCTTGGTGATCTTACAGGTCTTTTCCAGATTCTGCGATTCCATTGTTAATGGGCATGCAACTGGTGTGTCTCCATGCCAGGTTTGCAGGTGCATCTCCCAAGAGGGCTCAAGGGACAAACTTCATGAGCCAAGATGAGGAGAAAAAAGCCTTTCCTGAGCCTGCACTGATCAGGCTGCTAAGCAAGAAGTGACACACATAGACCAGCACAGCTCGCTGAAGGAGCCAGCCAGTGCCCTGGGAATTACATCCCATGAAACCCAACAAACAATTCTATAAGAATACCCATCAGTCGAGGTTTCTTCTCTCTATTTTTGTGTGCTACACCCCAAAACTGCTTAAGAAACTTTTCCATAACATATGTTGCTGTTAGAAGAGATCTGTGTTTAAGAGCCACGGTGCAGGATTCAGGATACCTTCAGTCAGTGACCCAGCCAGTGCAGCTGTACTCAACAGCTGCCTCTGGAGAAATATCTCCTGAGCCATACTCTTGACTTCAGCACAATCTGTACACAGAATAAGAGCTTTAAAACCTGCCTGACTCCTGCTGTTAACTTCCACTGCAGCCCTCTAAAAGAGTCACTGAGATCTTAAATCCTCTCCTTTCCCAAATGACTTAGCTGTCTGGAACATTTAATTTACATACTCTAGTAAGATATCATGGAATGGTTTGGGTTAGGAAGGACCTTAAAGCACATTACTTTTCAACCCCCTGCCAAGGGCAGGGACACCTTCCACTAGCCCAGGTTGCTCCAAGCCCTGTCCAACCTGGCCTTGGACACTTCCAGGGATGGGGCAGCCACAGCTTCTCTGGGCAACCTGTGCCAGGGCCTCACCACCCTCACGGGGAAGAATTTCTTCCTGATATCTAATCTAAATCTCTCCTCCTTCAGTTTAGGGCCATTCCTCCTTGGCCTATCACTCCATGCCCTTGTAACAAGTCAGTCTCCAGCTCTCTTGT